TACTCCTCTGCTAGTAACTGTAATTTATACCATATGAATACCCCGTCTCTTCTTTCAAAAATTAGCTGTGTGCTTGTACTCTTGCACTACCTTTATATATATATATATGTGTGTGTGTGTATATAGATGTATGTATGTATATACACATATGGGTGTATGTATGTGTATAGCTAATTTGACCTTTTGGTGCTCTCCTGTTTTTAAGATCAATAAGTATCATCTTTGCTGCATTTGGAGTGGATGTATTTTTTAATCTTTTTTCTTTATAAAGACCCCTGCTCATCAGTCTACAGGTGTGTTAGATTAGTTCTTTCTGATCTAATTAGAGAGTTGGCCACACCTCACACATCCAAAACTGGATACTGTGTCCAGTTTTGATTCCTTCCACAAAGAAAATGTGGACAGACAGGCTGGGGGGCTCCAGGGAAGACCCACAAAGATGATCGGAGGACCGAAAACTGCCGTAGGAGGAAAGACTGAGAGAACTGGGTTTGTTCAGCCTTGCAAAAAGAAGGTTTAGGAGAGACCTTATCACCATGTTCCAGTATTTAAAGGGTGCTTACTCCCTTTTAAAAGAAGTCACATGGAAAAGAGGAGGGGTAACATCTACAGGTTTCTCCTGGGGACATTCCAATTGGTCACAAGACAATTTTTCACAAAGAGGAACAGTCAGCCGTTGGAAAAGTCTTCCCAGGGTAGTGGTGCATTCCCCAACATTGGAGACTTCTAAGATTTGGCTGGGCAGGCTGCTGGACCATCTTGTCCAGAGAGTGCTTTTGCCAAGAAAGGTTGGACTGGGTAATACTTGTGGTGCCTCCCAATCTGACATTCTGTGATTCCGTGACAGTGTTCCACAATCAAGGCTTCTTTCACTTTGGATACCATACAGTGCATTTCTTTCCTAATGATGTCTGCTGCAGCCTTACCAGTGATACAGGAAAGATAAGCTATCTTTCCATATCCTATACCCGGGCAAACGACAATAATAATAAAATTCTAAAGTCACTGAACTCTAATGATTATTCATTTTTTCATAAAGATTGAGACTTATCACAATAAGATAAAAACTTTACCTTTTCTTAATTTAATACAGGTTATCTCCACTGCTGTTTTATTACAGACCGCTAGTGCAACACTTAATACAATTTGTCCTTTATTAAAGGATCAATTCAATTGGCCCCAAACCATCTTTTTACTTGAAGGACAAGAATAATCTTGGCATAAGTAGAAAGTTCTTTCAGTTTGAGATAAGTTGGGGAGGGGAAACCAAAAAATAAACATAACAAACAAATCTGGATAGTTTTATCTTCTTGAAAAACATCAGAAACCTCTGTGTGTGTGTTCATACCAAGCTAGCATTCTGTGTATTAGTCCCATTGCTCAAATCTTTATTATATGCAAATATTTCCAGTAATTTTTAATTAGCATTTCCTCTTTCCTTACTGTCTACAGGGAATATGTGATGGATATTCTTGTTTTAAAGTTTCTTTTGTGTGTCTTATACCTTATAATGCATTATTTTCTCACTGAGACTGGATAGAATTCCTAGCTTGTTCCGTTGAGAGATTAAAAGACACCAACAGTGCTTGAAAGCTACCCTGTTCTCATCACATCAACTTAAAGCATCCTGGATAACTAACACAGGAATACTGCAGGTTAAAAACTGTATTGGGGGGATGGTTTCCATTTAAAATCTGTAGCAGATTCAAAGCCAAATAAGAGAAGGAGAATTTTCATGTTTTGTGATTATAGATAGTACATAGTAATAACCAGCTGGTTGTTGACATAAAAGCACAACCTGTATATGCAAATGATGCTCTCTTGGCTGTCATTATAGACAACAGCTTTAAGAATGATGCAGCAATAGGCAGTATTTGCAGCAGGGATGGAGGAGGTGTGTCCCTGATGCAGACAAAAAGAACAGCAACAAAAGAAAATAAGCTCTCGAGTCAGCATTCTAAACTCCATTGTCACTGCAGTAGCAGCTGCGTGTGGAAATGAGGCAAATAGAATTTGAAATGAAGAACTAGAAAAGAAATTGCCACTTGCCTGTATGGATGGAGACGACTATTGGGCCTGATTGCCAATTAAGTGCTCTGTTTTTTCTGACAGCTTTGATAACAGGTCAAAAATGTGGCAGGAACTGCTCTTGGCCCTATTCACTTCATGCTTTGTGGCTGCTCAGCCACTGATACTCCTCTGCACACAAAGAAATACCACGATGGTACCAGTTGTAGTTTGTATCTGTCTTATGCTGGATGTGGATAATTTCCAGCAGAGTCCAGTGAATTGTCCTTAGATTGAAAAAGCCATCTAGGCATAGAAAGCAGACTAGGACTACATAAATATTGTCGGTTCACATTAAGCATATTTTCAAGGACTAAAGAGAGGATCAAGGGTACTTCATCAGTATTAAAACAGTGTCTGTACCTACCCTATCCTGGAGCAGCACGAAATGGTTTCATGTAGGCAGAGACTACAGAAAGTCTAAGTGTCATATGAACACTCTCAGAGTACAGAGAAATGTTCACTGTAAATCTATATACCTTTCAACAAGTAGTCATAGTTCTGAGACACAAGTACCTCTGGAGGCTAAATCTTGTCAGAATTGCCTGTGCCCTGAGTCATCTTGGGTGGTGATGAGTCTGGGTGTGCAAGGTATTTATTAGCTTAGATAGAAGGTCCCTGTTTGTGGACTGGAATTGTCTGAAATGTCTGACTAGTTAAGGTGTTGTCTCTGAATGTTCAAATTCTGTCTCTCCTGAATGCCCGAACCATGATTGCAGTACTTCTGCTGTTTGATTGACCAGATAATTTACCCCGTAATGATATCATAGGCTATTTAAGGCTGTCTCTTCAGAACAGTTATTAGCTTTATTTTTCTGCATCATTCAAGAACAGATGTTTCTACTGTGTAACTGAAATAATCAACGTCTTTGGAAATCAAAGATTGCTATTTTATGAAATGGAATATGACAGAAAATCTGAATCTTTAATCATAAAAGGGCAGGAGCAAAACTAATTGCATGCAACTGTGCAGAAATTTATAAGATCTGAGTCATGATAATGGTAAACAGTTAAAAACATTAATGGTGCCAGCAAAAATGCTGTTGTCTTTTATACTTGCATAGCTAAATATTTCACTTATGCTTTGTTATGCCATTTCTATATTTCAGAGGAGTGTCATCTGTTTGGTTTTTGGTGTTGTTTTTTTAAGATTTGAAGCCTGTTAAATTTCCTTAGTAATTTGCATTTGAATGTTTTCTCTTTTTTTTTGCCAATTTTTCCATAGTTCATTATTTCTTCAATTGCCACATCAGGTTCCTAGTGAAGATACTTGCACCTCCAGAATCATCTATGTGAAAGGTTATTCTTTCTGAATATATATTTTAATTTTTTTTTTCTTTTCAGTATGGAGACTGGTACATACTGTTAGTAAGCTTAGCAAAACAGGTAAGGAGGATTTTAGTACTTAAATAAGATCTAGTGACATGAAGGAAAAAGACTTAACTTGCCACCCACACTCAAGGCCATATCCTGTGTGACCCACAGCAGCAGTCCCAGTGGAGACACAGAAAATACTAACCCAAGTAGACAAGATCTATTTAGAACAGCCCACTGTTGTTTAAGAACTCTATACAGCATTTTGGAAGAAAATTTTCTACAAAAGGTGGGAAACAAAGGTACTGTCTCTCCTAAGGGCATGATTCATGGTAAAACCAAGAAGTCAGGTTTCTTCTTCTAGAGTCTTGTCCAAGCAGATAACAGTCCTCTTCTGCTAGTATGCACGATATTGGGGGAAGAAGCAGCTGCATATAGCAGATTTGAATATATTTATTTTGAGCTTGGTCATTCCAGGGATATGTTTTTTCTTGCTCTAAAGCAAAAGCACTACAGCAGAAGGAAAACTCAGGCAAGCTTAGAACAGCTTTGATGGAAATATTTATGTAAGGTGGATTTTAGCCACTTTTGGCGTATAAAGTAAGAGCAAAGATGAAACTTGGACATTTGGGACAGGCACAACCCCACCTGTAGCACCTTGTGCTCTCTCTCTTTCTCCAGCCAGGTGCTGCTCAGAGCTTGATGCAGGCAGGGTTGTCATGCTCTGGGTTTGCCTTGTGTATGCCAGTGGCACTGCACGGTGGAAAATGGCAAATGTGAATCTAAACTTGTGTGTTGAGACAAGTGCGTGTGACTTCTTTACAAAACTGCACTTACTACCAATAAATCTGAATCTTCCTCTTGTACAGGAGGCAGAATCTTTCACAGGAGTTTATCAACCCTTGTGAAGGTGCCTTCAGTTTTGTTCTTTTCTAAGGAGGTCAGTAGAGAACGATTCCCACTAAGACTCCAATCTTTGCACAGTAAAAGCCTTCATGCAGCTCTTTGACAGTGGTAGGAGACAACTGAGTATCAGAAGAGTGGTGGAGTTCAGGAGGTGGTACCTCCTGGGGCCGTTGTGGAAAGGCTCCCCAGCGTTCACTGACGGATTGTAGGCAGGTACTTGGAAGTGTCTGACTGAGGTTTATGTTGTGTAAGTGTTGGAGTGCTCAGTGCTTTGCAAGACTAGATCCCAGCACTAACCACTGCTTGGCAATGATACTGCATCTCACTTAGAAATTAATGTTTCCAAAAATTGTCTGCTGAAGTGTGAGGAGATTTTAATGCTTGAAAACCACTCAAGAAATGGAGGTAGGTTGCTGGCCAGTGCTTACTCTATGCAAATGAAAACATCAAATGTATGTAAACAGGGGCTGCTATTGTGATTTTTCACTCACTATTACAGTGGAAAGAATTGCTAGGTATTTGATGTACTTTAAAGTGTTTGTTATGTTTTAAGTGTGACAGGCCTGGACATGTCATTCAGGTCTGGTACCTCTTGTTGAATAGATCAGCAACCTGTGTGTCTGGAATTACAGCCTGCCTTATATCTTACCTCTTTATTATTATTATTATTATTAGGTATTAGGAATTGAGGACGACACCTCTGCTGTCTGAAGATGGAGAACAACATAACTACTGTATCTCGTGAGGAGCTTGAAGAGCTACGAGAAGCATTTGGCAAAATAGGTATATTTTAAATAAGGGAATCATAAGAATGTCATTACACTACAAAACTGTTTAGGATGTGTCAAAGAAATCTTTATGGATCACTTGGTTTTGATAGGGCTGTGTTTTCTCTCTGTATTGCCAGTAATATCTAAAAAATGTAAAGAGAATGTTAACATAGAGCCCCTTACTTTCACTGGAACTAGGTGTGTTAATTCTTTCAACTGCAGCACTGAAAACATACATTTTCTTGCAGGGTGGTAGCATTTTTTGTGTTATTGTATATGCTACATAATGGGTCTCAAAATTCAGTTTTTTGAAATCCTTAATTCTGAAAAACGTTTGATTAAGCTTCAGGTGTTATATATTGTCATGTTAGATTACTGACACTTGGTTTTTGCTTTACTTGCATGCTTAGGTGAACTAATAATTTCATGTATATAATCAGATTTTATGTTTTAAGTAAACAACTTGGAGATTTTTTTTAATCTTTGTAGCTAGGTGATGTTAATAAATAACTGTACAGTTTTGTATGCTTGACAGGATGTTTACAGATTAATCCAAGCACACAGAAATTGGAAGAAATTATATAGCAACTAACCCTTTCTTCCAGATTGCACTTCTGTTGTGAGTGTTCATATCTGCTTTATTTCTTATTTACTGCAGTTCTGAGGGGTGATGTGTAACTGTGCAGCTCAGGAAATCAAACAACCATGTTTGTAATCAGTCATGATGGGGGGAACGGGATCATTTTAGGCAAGAAGTCTCAAATGTTAGGAGTCTTTACTTGGTAAAGAAACTATTGGGAAGCTGTATGTTAGAGATTTGGAAAACCAGGAGTAGTATGTAGAAATGAAGAGGGAATTATTCAGGTTCTGCCAATACAGGTATCACGTGATGCCCAGTAGAGAGTCAGCAAGATTAAAATAAAAAGAACTAACTTCATGATAAATAATAGAACAATGAGCCCATTGACTCAGGATGTTGTTGAGACCAAACAAAGAGTAGAAATTCTAAAGGGAGTAAGATATATCCATGGAAGATAATTCATGAGTTGCTGTTAAACAATCATCAGGACATCTATAGCTCAAGTAGTTTATATCCTGCAGGTGCTGGAATGACAGATCAAGGAGAAGAACACTATATACATGCATCAGTCTACTGAAGGATGTTAGCATAGGTAGAGACTCACTGGTGTTGTCTGACAGCTTTTCTATGTTTGGTTTTCACCATCTGTATGCCTTCTTTTTTCTCTGTTCCCTGCCTGCATGTTTTCATATTTCTGCTTTAAGAATTGTCTGTACTGCTCCTACTCACTGAAAAGAAATTTTTCCTGATGCTTTATGTAAAACATAAAAATTAAGCATCATTAGTGTTTTAATTTTTTTTTTTTTCACGTTTCTAATGTCTATATGGATAAAGTGCTTGCAGCTACATTTGTAAACTGAGAGAAGGCATTTATTTAACTCTCAGCTTGTCATCATGGAAACTTACCCTCTGTGAAAGATGAACCTAGAGAAATAAAATAGCTGGTAATCTGAGTGAGCTCATGTCCTCTGCTGGTTAGACCATCCCTGTTATTATGTGTGGTCTTACATGTCTGCAAGCCAGGGGATGAATTAATACATACGCAGACAAATTACTGTATGGCAATTAATTGTGGCTGGAGATGAAAGCATGTTTCTCTACTTGCCCTTCTGTGATGAGAGGCATTCATCCACTCTGGTGGATGGCTGATTTATTGGCTGAGTTCTGATACTAGACACAATATGAAGAGGTGTTTTTAACTAGTAAATGAAAAAAAAAACCTAAAAGTGGGAGCATCTTGACAAGTCAGAAAAGTGGCCACATGATCTGTTTCTGATTCACTGGGATGTTCTCTTAAATTTCTTTCAAATGTATCTTTCATAGAGCTGGGAAAATACTATACACTAGTATTTTTCAGGAAGTTTAATATAATCATGAAAGTCACTGAAGATGTCATATCCAGCCTTACTTAGGCAGGATATGATTTCTTTTGGACTTGGTTTTGATTGGACTTCATTTATACCCATGTATGAATTACAGCTTTTTTGCTTTTAGAAGTACTCTCTTCATTGTGTAGCCAAGGCACAGGTAAGGCCATTGTACTGGACATGCTCAAATTCTCCTTGTATAAATATGTATATACATTATATTTATGGAAATATGCATAGATTTAAAAAAAAAAACAGGAGCAGGTAACGCAGTTGATTCATTTATGCTTTATTTTGGATAAAGACATGGGTGTGTTAAATGATTCTTTATTATACTAGGATGAATTAAGACAGCTTTCTGCAAAGAGATTGGCCAAAGGTGAAAGTACAAAGGGTACTGGTTGTTTCTGTACTGCTGTATTATTCATCATGAATAACACAAATGATACTCAATATATTTTTATATGATACAGCCATTAATTTCTTTCCATTATTTCAAACCTCTTGTTGAAAAAAAGTGTTCTGATACTTTGCTGTACATGAACATTCCTGCCATGTGTAGCCTTGGGAGCCAAGTGTAAGTGAAGGTGGCAGCTCAAATTGCTCCCAACAGATCCAGTTAATAGATTAAGGAAGGTCACCTTTAATAAACAGATACAGATCATCCCAGACTTACTCTTCAGAGGTAAGCCAAACCACATCAAAAGTTTTAAAGAACAGAAAATGTTTATCAGATTCTAGGATAAGAAATAAAATACAGTCAGACAGACTTCTTGTGTAAATAGTTTTTCTTGTGGCAGTGTGCTCTTCTAATAACAACATGCTTCAGATTTGAGCTTACTGATTGCAAATGATTTAATATTGCAGTAAGCATATATTAACTGATGTCCCTTTGACTAGAAGGTTTATAGATAATTTTGTTATAAGTCTTAAAAAAATAAGAAAATCTTGAACTTCACTATTTTCAATTTTGCTCTCTTGTTATATCTGTGCTCTGGCATCATAAGATAGCTCTTGAAAAAGCCACAACAAGATGGCACAAGTTCTAGACAGTTATCCCTCTGATCCACAGAGGATCATACTTACATATCTATGTCAGAGAAAGGAACGCTCATCTCCTAGAACTGTGTTTATCACACTTCATTTATTCCTAACAGTTACCATATCTTAGTACATGAATATGCATACGTTTACATAAGTTTAACAGTTGTGCTTTCATTCTACAGATATTGACAACAGTGGGTATGTCAGTGATTACGAGCTTCAAGACCTGTTTAAAGAAGCAAGTCTGCCCTTGCCTGGTTACAAAGTCCGGGAGATTGTAGAAAAAATCATTTTAGTGACAGATAGCAACAAGGATGGGAAAATCAATTTTGAAGAATTTGTCTCAGTAAGACATTCCCTTTGGATGTTTCTCTACTGTCTGATTTCTATGGAGAATTATGTGGTACAATAAGTAATATTGTTATATATAACTATTATTTTGAGTTTTCTGTGACAACCTAGAATATCCTATATAGTTATTTTCTAATTTTTATCTTTCACACTCCTATTTAATTTATTGGTTTGGATTTCAGCAGCATGTGAAAGAACAGTAATTGCAATCTGTTTTGTTTTCTGTTTCCTCCAAGGTGAGGGGAAGGACTGCATATTGTAGGAACTGTTGGGTCAGCCCTTGCTCTGACAGAAGAGCAGACAGTTAGATACCAGCCTCTGATTGCTCTTACTAGTGCTTCACTATGCTTAATCTCTATACTAAAGGCTGTTTTTTTCTGGGAGCGAGGTACAAGTTTTCCCTTTCACTGGGCAGATTTCAAAGCTTTAGGCTTTTCTAAATTAGAATCTCCACTGGTGCATTTTAAAAGAAACAAGAGTTTACCAGGCTGTTGGTTTGTGGGTGTTTGGGGATGATTATGTTTTGCTTTGAAGTTAGAGCACTGCTGCTAACTGCAGAAGGTTGCTTGTTGAATTAGTTACTGATCTTTCTTTCCGAGATTCTAAACATGCAAATATTTGCTTCCAGGTGTTAACTGTGTCTGTTACTTTGTCAGTCTGAGACCTCTGCAGTATTTGGGCAAACATAGGACATATTAGTATATCCAGTGTGGTTTACATTGCAGGCAGGTGGAAAATAGTATTAGCTTGATAAAGGAAAGGCATGTTTAACTGTCATGTCATAACCTTTTTCATGCAAGGCATGTGGAGAAATAAGTGGGAAAAATGTAATATCATCAAAAATGTGTGTATCTTTAGTTGTGTTCTTCAGTTTACCAAAATATCTGTGAAAAAATTATGTGGATATTTGTATGTCTACTTTTTTAGATAGAATGGCTTAATAGAGGTATTCACTGTGAAATAATATGTTAGATATCCAGTATAGATATGGATATTCAAACATAATTATTTCTTTTTAAAACAGAAGTCAATATAAATATCAAGGAAAGTCAGGTTAACTACTTGACTCTAGACTGCTTACATGAATTAACAGTTATTTGAAGGTACAATCAATCACAAAATGCTTTCTATATTTTAAATTTCAGATTATTCAGGAATTGAAAAGCAAAGATGTTAGCAAATCATTCCGAAAATCAATAAACAAAAAGCAAGGTATTACAGCAATTGGAGGAACATCAGCAATATCTAGTGAGGGGACACAGCACTCTTATTCAGGTAAGAAATAATTAAACAGAGGCAAATTTTCCATGGGGGAAGACTCTTTAAATTTGCACTACAGATAAAACAGAGCCGGACTGGAAACTGTTGTTGTTGAAAGAAAATTAACATAGCAAAAGCATGTGGAGATAGACAAGGTAAGCGTGGGTGATATTTTATTAACTGTATTCAGTTGTTACTTAGTTTCACTTTTAGTTGAACTTGGAGGCAAGTTGGGCATCTGTGTGAGAGCAAAAGAGGAAAACAAACACTGACATCTTGTAGGGGGGAAAAATGGTCCCTTTGCCGTACTTCTAGTAAAGCTAGTCAAATTTTTGCCTTCATTATATGCTAATGGACTCTCACTCTTATGTTCAGATAAAAAATGAATCCTCATTTTCACAGTGGTAACTAACTTGAGCTACTAACAAACCACCACATATCCTTTCTGCATGGACTGGCCTCCTCAGCTGTTTCTGCCATTACAGAATTGTTCACTCCTGCATGGTTTTTGCATAGGCTGTCTCACACTGAAGAACCTGATTTTAGTATTTGATCTGTTTCTTTCTACCTTCCCCTCCTCCATGCAATTTAAGTTGGTAATTGTGCCTAATTGCATTGCAGGTGCTGGCCAGAGTGTGAATCCCCTTCTAGGATCATATTGCAATCAGCAATATTGCAACTTTTTTGATTGACTTAAGTCTGGAATTTGTGTGGTTCCAGATTGTGTAAAGGTTCTATGTATGAGGAAGATTTACTTTGATTAGCCAAAGGTGGCAAAAAGGTGGAATCCTACTCTTTCAGTAGGATTCCAGCACCAGCTATACCTGGCACATCCTCAAAGCAGAGGATTTGCTCCATCCCAAAGGATGACTGTAGGGCATCAGAGGTGATTCTTTGGATGCAGTTTTATTTTTGGTGGAGAGAAAACAAACTCCACTAGAGCACGATTCACCTGGCCTGGCCTCACCAGCCATCTTGTTTATGATGAGGTGAAGTGTGCTCTAGAATTTCACATTGTTTCCCACTAATGAGTCAGGTGCTTCTTGAGGTAGGGTGAATACCACCTGTACTGTTTGGGAATTTGGATACTGAGAGTTGATTGACTGTTATCCAAATAAGCTTTCTTAGATACATAGTAATAAATTATGCACTGAATATGAAAGAGAATTTAAAATTGAGATATTAAACTTCTTAAGTTTCTCAAAGCTAAAGACAGCTCAGCAGTTCAGATTGGTCTCAAAAGGCTGCCAGTCTCAGAAGTTCAGCAGAAGACTGAATGAAAAGCTGCATATTAAACAAACAGCGCATGGAGTGAGTTGTTAAAAATTTCAGATGAGACATTTTCCCGTCTTCTTTGTAATTGCTGGGAGACTGAATTTGAAGTCTACAATGAGGATGCCTTCCCTATGATGTTCCTATGATTTTTATATTATCCTTCAGAAAATCACCAGGTGCTTAGGGGGTGCAATGGGAGAAAGGGCAATCTGTACTTACCATTTTTTGTGTTCTTTCTGATTTTTCAAATAACTGACCTCTGTGGAACTAAGGGATTTTGTTGCAGATGAACCTCTTTGACCCAAGTATACTGTTACTAGTATGTATTCATGGCAATGTTAATCTTTTATTTTAATGCTGTCTTTCTTTTCAGAGGAAGAAAAAGTTGCTTTTGTTAATTGGATAAATAAAGCTCTACAAGATGACCCAGACTGTAAGCACCTCCTACCCATGAACCCATCAGATGCCAGTCTGTTTAAATCCCTTGCAGATGGCATCCTTCTTTGGTGAGTCCAAGGCTATGAGAAAGAAAAGAAATTAATCTCAAAGGTTAAATGCTGATCACAGTGACAAGAATTTGAAATCTTCAGATAGGCTTTAACATCAAGACTCCACTCTTAAATATTTCAATCTGGGTGCAAGGTGGGGAAAATCTATTTGCCCATAGAAATGTGATTTTTCAGCATATTTTCTATGTGGCTCTGTGCATATCTTACAGAAAAGGTTTTCCATTTCAGACCTATAATTATATATGCCAGATATGTGCAGGCTGTTTATAAAGGAGATAATTAAACGGTTCATAAATTCAATACTTGAAATAATTAGAAAAAAAATCACTATTTTAGATAATTTTAGAAGTTACTAATTATTAATTTAATGTCATTAAATCATGGGATAGCAGGAACAGAAATCTGAATTAAATCCATTGCAAAACGGAGACCATATAGTAGGTCCCTTAACTTTAGTCTGCTGTAACTTTCTAGTTCAAGTGAATTACTAGTACTTACACACCATAGTAACAAGGGATTAGCTTATTAATATTGATGTGAATTAGTCTTTAAGATCCATGTAGATACAAGGTACTACAGAAATGCAGTATCTAAAGCAGAAATACTCTGATTATACTACAGTTTTTCAATGAATACCATTTAAATTACTTCGGTTTACAGTTGAAATCTTCTCAGGAACTTTCTTTGACATTTATAGGTATGATCTATTAGTTATAAAAGGAAAATGCAACATATTATCTGAATGACTGTGCAATTATTTAACAGGAGAGGAGATTTAGAGGATGGTCTTTTTTTTATCTTGTCAGAAATATTTGCAGCTAGTTTAGTGTTAATAGTTTATAATCAAATAATATATTTTCTGAGAAGTGGAAGTTTGAATATACTCTTGACTTTTCTTCCTTAGCAAAATGATCAACTTTTCACAACCAGATACAATTGATGAAAGGGCTATTAATAAGAAAAAACTCACTCCTTTCACTGTTTCTGTAAGTACTGCACTAATTAAAAAGTAAAGTATTTTTCTGTTTTAATGACAGTTCTCCTGGTGGAGGAAAAAAAAATCAAAAATTATATGTAATTAAAAAAATCCAGAAACATGAGTTTGTATTTTCTATTAAACTCTACTGCATTCTCCTATTTCTTAGATGATTTACAGAAAAACTAGTTTTTTCTTGCTTTCCCTAATTCTTTCCCTATTAGCTATTTTTGTTTTGCCTTATGTAGTACCGGAAGAAAATAATTTTAGACTTTGAGTGGATGGCCAGGTTGTATTTTAGCCATGCAGAAAGTATCTGTATGGCTGTATACTCTGTGATACGATGATGCACTTTCAATACCGGAGGGCAACTAGGACAGAAAATGAGATCTAGTTTTAATTGCGTATGAAGTCATGGAAAAGTTGGACAGCAACAGTTTTTAAGAACTTAGTTTGGGTTTAAGAAAACAGGTCTGGAAAGGGAAGTAGATCCATAAGTTACTGGCGCAGTGAGAAAAAACTGCTGATGAAAAACCACAATTAAATGGCAGACTTTTCATTTTAGGCAGTGACATTAAAATCTGAAAAGTTAGACCACGCCAAAACCCTCCAAGTGGGTTTTGTAATTGCTACTTATTTAAAGAAGATTTGTCAGCAAAGATGATACTGCGTGTGTTTATGTTGCCTCTCTAGACAGAGAAATATGACGCAAAATATAGTAACACTGATGAGAGCTGCCAGCTATTTTTTCTTGGAATCTTTGTCAATATCTTTGACAACCACTAGCTTTGCTTTGAATTTCAGGGTTTTGAATTGCTGTGATTTTCTTATGTTCTTCATTCAATTACAGTTTAACAATTGCTTGACTAAATGTGTAAGATTTAAGATGGGATGACAGTATTGTTTAATTTGTATAACTGGTACTTATGAATTGCAGAAAGTATTTTGATTAAAGTATTCCTCAGTAATCCCAGCTGCAAAAGGGTCCATAATTTTTTGGTGGGTCCATATTAAATACTGTCATTGTTTTCATTAAATTTTGGTACAATGCAAGGTAGTTCACAACCTCCAATTTTCCATTGGAAGCCATTGAACTAATGCATTATTTCTTCTAAAGTTTAGTATGAACAATTTTACTAAAAAATACAATCTCACAAGTTTATTAAATGATGATATTCCAAATAGGAAAACCTAAACCTGGCTCTGAACTCAGCATCTGCCATTGGCTGCACAGTTGTCAATATTGGATCACAAGATTTGCAAGAAGGAAAACCACACTTGGTATTAGGACTCTTGTGGCAGATCATTAAAGTTGGCCTTTTTGCTGATATTGAAATCTCTAGAAATGAAGGTAAGAGTAATGCCAGGTATAGCAATGTCAGCCACTTGGAATTAGCTCAGACCACAACAGCAGTGATTTTGGCTTTCTTTCAAACTTGCTTTTAGCTCTTATTGCCTTGCTAAATGAAGGGGAAGAGCTGGATCAGTTAATGAAGCTTTCCCCAGAAGACCTCTTGCTACGCTGGGTGAATTACCATCTGGCCAATGCAGGGTGGCAGAAAATCAGTAACTTCAGCCAAGACGTTAAGGTATGTGTTCTTTGCTCTCATAATCAAACACAGTGGTATTAAAACACACAATGAATAGAAAAAAACTGTCAGATCAGAAGAATTTAGATGCACTAGTAATCTGCTTTCTCTGGCTGTAGGTTTATCCTGCATTTTTCAGCATTAAAAGAGCATTGTTTTGATCTCTTCTATCCTATTTAGTTGCTCATCCCCTGTATTATCATATCAGAGTGCAAAGTGAACATTTCCAACAAGCTGATGGTTAGGGAAGTTCTAATGTCGTAAGATGGCTATTAGAGTTATTTAGGATAATTTGCACCACCTAATTAGTTGCCTAATAACTGCCAGTCACTGCTTTGCTGGTGTGTCAGCTGACTGACATGGGCTGAAAGGTTCCTTGGTGCAGGTGGCAGAGCTGCAGAATTCTCTCTTCAGTCATTCTGCAAAGGCATGCAGAACATTGTAGTAGCCCAGCTGACCAGAGAACACAGCAACTTTTTAAAATTGAAAGCAAAGGAGGAAGATTCACTAAGGTGGTTAGACCTCCTTTCATTGGAGAAAACCATGTCCTTAATTTCAAGTTATATCTTTTCAAATGCTACAAAGAAGGTTGTTATTAAAGCAGGCTGTAACTAAGGTTTTATATGAAAACTGCTACTATGGTAAAAATATTATATGGTGTTTGAGAGAAGTAGTAAATACTTGTAGGACTAGTAGGGGTTTATTTTGTCTTCTAGTTTGTTACTGCAAAATTGATCCTTTTTGTGGGTAACCATATAAATTTGCCCTGAATATCTTAATTACAACACTCTAGTTAATATTCAGCAGAATAAATGTAATTAGCATTGTCCAGAATAATGAGCAGATACTCATTTTCTCTGTCATTTGGCTAAGTTCTTTGTGAAACGGGGTAGTAAAATGGCTGTATGATCCATATTCACTGAAATTGGGGTGCTGTATTTTTGACTCTTATGGCTTTTGGATTGGACCATTACAGTAAAAATGTCTAGGAAAGGCTACATACTTGCTGCTCTTTCTTTTTTTTTTTTTTAATATTACACTGTTTGTTTTAGGATTCAAGAGCATACTACCATCTGTTAAATCAGATTGCACCCAAAGGAGATGACCTTGAACAATTGCCCATTAAAATTGACTTTACAGGATTTCACGTAAGTATACAGAAATGTAAAAATAGACTGGAATTATCTGGGACCTCTGTATATGTCCAAAATTCTGGTTATCCCTGAATCCTCTTTTGTTTCCTAATGTGTGCAAAAACCCAGCCAGATTCCTTAGTGTTAAAAGAGCTTAAATGAGCTAAAACTTGAGTAAGTTCTACAGTGCTGTTGAAACAGGATAATGCATCATGCAGTCTAAAGTTTGGAGCTATGTTTTACTTGGAGTAGTGTATATTGATTTTCAGCTGGGTCATCCAACAAAAATATTACAACATCCTGCTCAGTTCTCCTCTTCTGGAATTCAGACAAGGAAAAAGAGTAGACTTCAGAAACGGTTGTTCCTTCCTCTAACTAAATAGTATTTAGAAATAACATGTGAGCCCTTCCAATAACCAGCAGCAAAGTGTGGCATCTATCAAGCTTTAAGTTGTAAAAGGGACAGAGGGTCTAAGACCAGCCTACACTGATATGAAAACACTTGTTTAAGCTGCTTCATAATGCTTGTTGGAAGGATTATTCTGAGTGCATTTGATACAAAGTTGAACTGCATGCCTGAGATACCTATATATCAGTCAGAATCTAAAGTAGAATCTCGTTATTCATTATAATCATGAAACCCATGTGCAAGATTATTTGCTTACATGCTTTAGTTCTCTTAAATTCCTTGTTTGCTCTTGTTTGAGATTTTTTGAGAGTGAGAAAGAAGTTAATTTTTTCCATGTAATTTCCTACTTTTCATATGATCACATTTTGTAATGAACCAATATATTATTAATAAAGACCATTGAACAAAACACATAAGTTGCCAACTTACAATGATTAAGAGAAAAAAAAATATTAAAAAGAAAGCAAGTTTGAAGCATTCAAACTCTTACTGATGGTTTTGGGCATCATCTGGAATTACTGCATTTGAGAATATCAATTTAAAGCAGTGGTGGTGAACCTTTGGTATATGTAGAAGGATACACAATATGGGAATCAACAGCCTGGAAATGGAAATATAATCTCTACACTCCCGGCTGCAGTTGCTGTGATTCATGAGGAGTGCTGTGCTGACAGCCACAGAAGTGAAGGACAGTAGAACGCAGAGGGGAATTGTCATGGGCTCAGGCATTGGCAGAACGAGGGATGAGCTGGCATGGATCATTTAAAGATTACCTGATTCAGTAAAATCTAGTACTAGACTTAAGTGTAAATTAACTTTGTTTGTTTTTCTTTTTAGGATAAAAATGACTTGAGGAGGGCTGAATACATGCTCCAGCAGGCAGATAAATTGGGCTGCAGACAGTTTGTAACTCCAGCTGATGTGGTTGCAGGCAACCCTAAGCTCAATTTAGCTTTTGTTGCAAATCTCTTTAACACATATCCAGCCCTGCACAAGCCTGACAGTTCGTCTTATGATCTCAATTTATTAGAAGGTACTCAACTTTCTAACTATACAGACGATAAGAATAGTAGTGATTTCTACTTAGGTATTCCTTCTAGGTTGTCATATAGGATCCCTGTGTGCTGGTGCCTGTGTTTACTTACTAGCAGTCAATATAAGCCTTAGTAGAAAACCCCAGTAGTGTGTACATTGTTCACTTATGTTAGCCTGACCAAATGGTTATTCCTGAATAACCTTCTGTCACTCATTTGCAGGAGCAAAAACTGTCCTCCTACTTTCCTTTCAGTTTCCCGTGCTTCTTTCCATGCTATTTATATTTTAGCTGATGTACAAATTCTAGCTTTTCTTTGCAGTGCTATGTTAAGCAAGTGTAATAGTTTTTAAAAGTATTTTTCACATAGTGCATTTATATATGTGTATGAGTTTGCTGCCTCTTAAAGCAGGAAACATTTCTTTTTTTAAAAAGGCTTCTGTATCAGCAGCCTATATTAATCTATTGTATCAACAGCCTGTATAGATCTTATCGTATCAGGGAATTTGGCCTTTAACTGTACAATTCAGATCTCTAATGCCAGAGATAAAGAGATAATTGGTAACAATCTTTGGCTGTTGCCCTTGCTGTGGACCAGCTAATCTGGGATAATGGAATGGCTCCTGCCAGTGTATTTCACAGTTGTTCACTGATCTCAAAGGAATGTGAGAATCAGGGGTGCCGCACTCGAGGGAATCATCAGCAATGTTCACATAGTCCTCTGCACTGCCTTCTCGTGCCTTCCTCTTACTGTTCCTATCAGGTTTCCTTTCCATCTAGGTGAGTCCATCTTCCTTTGCTCCTGTTTTTTCATAATTTGTCTGTGCTGCTGCATCTCTGTGTCACGAATCTTGTACCCCTCAGAGCATTCTTGTTTCAGACTTCTTGCTCCTCTAGTTTCAGCTGGGTGCCAGCTGTGATCTGATAAAGGTTGTAGAGCACAGGACGTTGTGTTCCCTTTTCAGCTGTGATATCCCCAGTCATTGCAGTCCCTGTTGGCCAGGACAAATGACTGAAGGAAAGGTCTGCTCTTCCTCTGCTTCAGTTTTATTAGAAATTTCAGCTCTTGGAAATGTATACAGGAGCTGTGTGGAGGTAGAATATGTTCAGTTCAGCTTCTCTGCTCTGAAGATAAAGTTGCTGGTGTGATTTGAAATACTGAAAACTTGGTTAAATTGGGAAGAGTTTTCAATGGCATGGGAAAAAACAGTTGAATTAGTTTGTGGACTTCCCTGAAACATTTAGATGGGATCAAAGTCCCAGCCAAACCACAAGTTACAATCAGCTGAATGCTAGGTTATCATTTTGTAATGATAAATACTGACCAAATTTAACTGACTATTTACAGTATATATTTTAGAGATGGATAATCATGCCAGTGTTATCTGTTCAAAGAAAAGTAGATGACTCCTTTTTGCCCTCAAATAGTAACTGCTATGGTGTCAAACCATCAGAATAGTTATTTCAGCCCAAAGACAATGCTGTTAATGTTTCTTTTTTCCTGTTAATGTATTATTTGTTTTCCATTGTCCTGTGTTTATACGAATGCTTTCTCAAGATAGTGATATAAAATATGACATTGATTTCTTTATAGTTTCATCATAGATTGTCTGTTGAAATCTGACTCATAATTTATAATGCTTTCCTGTTTTGCTTCATGAAATGCAGATTTGACCCCTCCTAATGTAGGTACTGTATTTAGTACTTTTCTGTACTCCGTAACAAGTGTTTTTCTGCAATTTTTCATTCTTTTTCCCCTCCCCAGTTGTTTAATCATCTCTGTCCTTTTCTGGTTGTTTTTTTGCATTGTTCTTACATTTTTCTATTGTTTTAATATGCCATCATAAGTAAAAGAGAAGGAAAAAAACCCCACAGCATATAAAATGAGGTCAAGAGTTGCAGTAAGTCAAATGCCATACAGGTATTTTGGGGGGTTTAGCCAGTAAGGGCTTTCCACAAACCAAGATGTCAAGCTGTAGGCATGTGTGGAGCTTCCTGAAAGTCTTTATTTTTCAGCATAAATTCAATCTTTTCAGGGACTGTCCCACCTGATCAGTATGGTATGGCTGTCCTCTTCAGTTTGAGAGTTAATGCTGTGCATAAACTGGCATCTGCCCTGATAATACATGTGGTGATGTGCACTGAAATAGAGAGCGCATATCTCTCACGAATACTGACAGAGCAAAATGAACATTTGGTCTGGTGTAGGGGTGGAGAGGGCAGTCTGGAGCTCAGTTATTGCACCACCTTTGCATGCTGCTGCTGCTGATCCAAGGAGCCTCTTGCCAATGGGGAAAGCAGCAGCTGGGAGTCAAAGTCATGCAGAAAGTTGAGTTCTTGGGGAGAGGAAGAGGAGTGGCTTGTGTCCACCCACTTTTCCTCCAGTGTAGATGTCCTGTGCTGTTGCTTAGATTACTGGCAGCCTTCATGGCTATCACCATGAGAAGGTTAAGAACTCCCACTCAAGCTGGCTGAACTTCAGATGCAACTGTATCTAGAGCACAGTTGTGTTCTAGAGATAATCTAAGATATATTTGGAGCTCTTTGGATTCTTGATCCCCTTCCCTACAGCTACTTTCTGCTCAGTTCCACAGGGTAATGATCTCAAAAAAGAGATGGCAATAAATATAAAGGATACTACCAAATTTGCTCCTCTCTCTTTTGTGTAGCTCTGCCCCCTTTCTGCAGTTTCCCAATGATTTTGGCTATCTGCTGCACCACTCAGCAGAAGATATGCTCCTGATAGGATCACAAGGTATATTTTGAATAAAAGAATAGAGAGAAAAAATTGGTCAGCCATCTGGAAAACTTACGAAAACTCATGTATTGCATGATAAAAGGATTTGTTTAGAGTGGCATATTAAATATAGTATGCTGGGTTTAGTTCCTGGACTCCCACTTTCCCAAAGGGTTTTGACCAGCTTGCATGCTCTTACTCCTGCTTTGCTACTTTGGATTCCCCTGACAGTGTTAAGCAAGCATTTTAAAATCCTCAGTCTGAGTGCAGTTGCTGAGTACCTGTTTTTGTGGCTATGCTCTTTAATAAGAGTTCACTAAATAACCTCAGTACTGTCTTTGTAATGGACAAGTGTTCTTAAAAGCACTTTGCAGTCAGTATTTTAGGTACAGCAAATCAACTCAAAGCTCAGTAACCATAAAATCATTTTAAAAAGCACTTCAAAATACTATAATCTCAAAGATACTCTTTATAAACTTAAACTGTCATTCTTGAGTTATAATTGTTTCTTAAATGGAAAAACTGGTATTTTTAATAAATTTCTCACAAAGTGTGATTCTTTTATATTTTAATGTGGCAAGAAATATGTGAAACAAAGCTCTCTGATGATCATGCAGAATAGTATTTTTCTTTGTTTCTTCTGTTTCATCAGCGGCTCTTTGGTTATTTTTACAAGTAAATATTTGAAACAAACACTAATTTGAATTGCATATAAAAAAAATTTAATTTAGAAAATGTATTAGTAAGATGAATGTCAACTATTTAATAATAATTGGAAAGGAAAGAACCTGGTAAGGTGGCTGAAACTTTTAAACTAAAACTTATTTTGTCAGAAATTGTAAACTACAGCTGAAATTTCTGAAGTCCAGAGCTTTTTGTATAAAAGGGTAAGAGACCTAGATTAAAATGTTAACTTCTATCTAAAAAGCAACGTTATGACATAGGTCTAGGCATGGAAAGATAATGTTAAAGAGATTTTACTTCTAATCTGATAATAAATACATGTTTACACAGTAAACATTTCATTTTACAAAAACATTCGTTATTCTGTAGTCAGCCTAGAACTGCAGTACTAAATGAGACAGTTTTCATCCTATATAAACCTCATCAGACAAACGTGGTACTTGTTTGGAGAGGTTTTCTCCCTCCGTAGTGTCTTCACTATTTTCTTAACTGGATTATCAGCCCAGGGAGCAAAGTGAAGAGGTTATTCCAAGCTCAAATATTCAGGCTAAATATTTTCTCAAATGCTCCTCTTTGATGCAAGAGAAAACAGCTTATGAAGCACTGATTCACGTGTAGATGGCCACAGAGATGTTAAAATTTAGGCAGTGTTGTATGTAGAAAATTAATTATTGCAAGCTCTAATTTTATAGTGAAAGAGATTTAAGACTCAGGATTGCAATAGTAAAAGCAATCTAAGTCAGGAAAATGGAGGTTGGGATTTACTTCCTAATGAATTTTATGCAGTTCTTGTAAGTAGAATTGCTGGTTAAAACTCTGAAGATAACTGGCCTCCACAGCAGTATAAATAGCTTCACAAATTTAACCAATACTGCCTCTCCACATTTTCAGTTCAAAGAACTAAAAAAAATGAAATCTGTTGCTTTGGGGAGGCCCTTGGCAAGTTAGTACTGTCAGCTTCTGTGAGAGTGGAGATATAGTGCCTCATGTGTTAGTACTGACTTTTAATGAAAAGATGTCATTTCAAACAGATCTAATGGTACTGTTGAATGCAGTTTCCACTCATTTTAATTTCAGGAAATTATTATAAATCATCTCCGAGATATGTTAATTATATGAAATAGAACAAAAATTTATTTCTGTATTTTATCAAATTGTATTTACTCAGATAAATGTCTAATAGTCTAATAGTACTCTTCCCTGTAGTGCCCCTGCCCTGTGCCCAGAACTGAGTGAATCTGAATTGGATAGGATTGCCTTGTAGTATAGACTACTGTTTGGGAAATTATGAACATATTTTGGGGTGGGAGAGGGGTGTGGGGGGGATATAAGCATTTAAATGTTGCTTATTAAATTGTTTTCTCCAATAACTTATATAGAATTATGTTTGTGACCATAGGAGAAAGTAAGGAAGAAAGAACTTTCAGAAACTGGATGAATTCTCTGGGTGTAAGTCCATATGTTAATCATTTATACAGGTAAGATATTTTAAAAATAATTATTTGACTTTCCTTGGGTAACAGGGGAAGAAAGAAGGAAAGAAGAGAGGGAAGTTGTATTTCTACTAGAATAGTGATTTTCAGGTTTCCACTTCAAAACTGGTCTGTAGGACCAAATTAAGCAGTATCTGAATTGAATATTCTAGTCATAATCTAGATAAACTAGAAAACCTAAGAAGGTTTAAATCTTCCCCCCTCATTCACTTGTACATTGAATTACACTTTTTTAAAAGTAGAGATAATTTTGTTTCATGCTGCAAAATTTTTTATTTTTTCAGTAGAATGTAAGAAGCTCTGCAATGTATCCCTCAGATAAAGGGCTTTATAACAAGCTTTTTAGGTGCTTCTGGTCGCTTTCAAATTACACCAGAAGTTGATTCAAATCCTGTCAATACAGTATGAGATTGAGGGAGCAAATGGGAACACCTGCTTGTATGTATATTTACTAATTGATTTCATTATTTCTGTTTTCTGACCTCTGTAAAGTGATCTGTAGGTAGGTTAACATGGAGCATTTAATTTATAAAGTAGCTGATGGGGATTATCAGTAATGTAACATATGATGGGAAAATAATACTTTTCCTCCTATTCTTCTTTTGCAAGATAATTTCATTGGTTTTGATTATTCTGTAGCAAAATACATCTGTAGGCATCTGCAGATATAACATGAATATTTAACATTTGGGAAAGTCCTAAGAGAACTAAAATTAGATCAATAAATTAAAACTATCTTAGCAGCTATTTTGTCTGTGCCTGCCCTATGAAAGTAATTATTTAATTGAAACATGTGTCTGAGCTTGCTTCACTAAGATTTGTGAAAATAATGAAATTAAATGCAGAATTTGGTGTACATGATTGCAGGAATCAAGCAATAGAATATAGGCCGGTTTCTTTACAGAATAGCACCAGTTTTTATTTAAGTGTCTGGAATTTTTCAGCAACTTAATTACACTGTGAGAAGTCTCAAGTGCATACCTTCATTGTCAATCTGTGCTTCTATGCTTAAAAATATCATTTTGCTCTGGTTTAGTGACCTTTCTGATGCTTTAATCATCTTCCAACTGTATGACATGACACGTGTACCTGTTGACTGGAGCCACATCAACAAACCTCCTTACTCATTACTTGGTGGCAACATGAAAAAGGTGGGTGGATGCCCTGGGAGGCAGCCCAGCTTCACTGGCTCCCATTGTGCTGATAGCAGTCTGTGTGGTTGAGATTTCTGTGCTACTGAGACAATCCTGGGGAGGAAAAAAAAGGAAAATCTATTTTTCAGATATTATCCCAAAGAAGAAATAGCAGTTATAGCATATATCACCTTAGTTTCTAAATGTGGACACCTTTTGGCAATACTTAATTTATGGCCTGATTTGGATTTATAAGGCCTGACATGGCTGTTGTTGCTGGATGCTCCTATACTGTAAGGCATTTCCTCCCAGAGCAGTTTTATATGCTTTTCATAGGATTTGGGCACGACTAACAGAATCAAAGCTTTCACTTAGTTATGTGACTATTGTGAAGCCTGAAATGTAGATGATAAAAATTACTGCCTGTTTAAGAAGATCACATTTCAATATCTTTTAATGTATGGTTTTGATATAAATATATTTTATTCACTGCCTTAGTGGAAACTTGTTTTTTTCAAATGTGGAAAAAATTATCATTGGAATCTTGCATAATTACATTTACATTAAAATCTGTATTATTTTAATCACAGTGTTGCTAGACTAGAAAAGTTTTTCTAGCTTCAGATCTCACTGTAGGTAACAGTAAGCTAAAGTAATTTAAAATACATGTAGATTTTAGGTCTGTATTGAAGAAATATTAATGTGTTTTCATTATTTGGACACAAAATTTATTTTCAGATTGAGAATTGTAATTATGCAGTGGAACTTGGGAAGACAAAAGCCAAATTCTCACTGGTTGGTATTGCTGGACACGATCTAAATGAAGGTAATCCAACTCTGACTTTGGCTTTGGTATGGCAGCTGATGAGAAGGTAAGTTAGGTGCAGAGTATGAAAGATGTGTAGATCTATGTCTGTATATCAAGGCAAATTAAGGGTAGTGTTCAGGTCACCTAACTGGTATTGTAGAGAGCAATCTCTGAACACCCCTGTTATTAACACTAAAATTGTATATGTGTTTTGTAATTTTACATAATGTGCAGTAATTGCAACCACAATTTATAGGGACAGTTAATGCCTTATAAACTAGAAACTGTTACTAAAATTATAAATCCTGCTGCAAGAACCCAAGGAAGTGGTGATACATGTACTATAGAAGTTAAAAGGGTAAAAACTTGCAGGCCATCACAACTACAGTTACATAAGTATCATCAAATCAAAATTTTACTACTGTATTGAGCAAGAAAAAATAATTATAAAGTGATTTCATTACAGATTTTTATTGCAAATGTTTTCCTCAAATTAGTTTTCTTAGACCTATCCCAAAACACTTACTGTTTTTTGTTCTCAGACAGCTGTGATTCATTTTTTTTTCCCCACTAGGATGGTAGGGAGCCATTAAAACTTAGAAAGAAAAATGAATTATGATGTACTAAGTAAAACAAATGCATGAAGATGTTATAGTGAATAATATGAAATTTGGGATATTATTTTATTCTTTTATTCGGTAACCACTGAAAAAATTATTTCAAGTACTATATAGTTTGTAAGGTAAGGGTACCTTATGAAGAGGAGTACTTGGCATTGTTACTGTGATGAAGTAATATTTTACCTTTGCTTAACTTTTCTTTGTAAGAAAAGTTGAGTTCTACCATTTATTTTAACTTGGGCTCATGTTCTCTTTATTGAAGGTATACTTTGAATGTACTATCCGACCTTGGAGAGGGTGAAAAAGTAAATGATGAAATTATTATTAAGTGGGTGAATCAGACACTTGCAAAAGCAAATAAGAAAACTTCCATTAAAAGCTTCAAGGTAATCAATTTTATTTACTTTTCTTTCCACATTTAATAAGACCTGGGATTTTTAACCTGATCTGTTAACAATTTGGTTTTAACAGTGGCTCTCCCATCAGCTAGCAGAATTGTTTATGGAAATATTTCTGACAGTCTTTGAGTCTTCAAAAGTATTTTACAAATCTATTGACAGATAAAAGAAATTATAGTAGCTGCAGTAAGATACAAAACAAAAAGCTCAACAACAAAGAGAAGAAAAAGAAGTTTAAGCTTTTGAAGGGGCATCTGTCTGAAGTTACCAGTGTTTGGGCATGGCATGTCGTATATTTTCCAAATTTTTAGATATAGGCACTCTCATGCTTGTACGAGTAACAAAAACACTTTTGGAAATAGCGGGGCAGATGACCACTTCTCCCAGGAGCTGCTAAAAAGGATCTCACGTGTGAGCGAGCCGGGAGAAGGAGCCTGCGGTAACCAGCGACACCTTGTGTCATCCTGGCCACTGCTGGGGTGCCGGGGGAAAACGGGACCTCTTCCCATTCAGCAAATAAGAGCGCATAGATAAAGGAAGCTTTCCTTCCACATTATTTAAGTGTTCAAAAAGAAAGAACACATATATGTGTGTCAGCTATGTTATTCTGTGTGAATCTCTTGCTCTCGAAACGGCTGATTAACAATTGCACACAAATGTAATGTTCTTGTAGCCTGTAAGGTTCATGTTATAACATGAAGCATTTATGTCTGTGGTTCAAAACAGGAGAACATTGCAAGTTTAAAATATTTTAAAGTTCCCTATGTTATGAACTTTAAGTGACCATTATTAATAAAAAAAGTAAGTAAAAATATTTCATTTTCACTTTAGAAGGTAACTTGGGTCTTCATTTTTTTATGAGATGTTGCTGCTCCTCTTATTTCAACATATAGTGTTATAATGGTGGTATTAAGTAAGTTGAAAGTATGACAAGAATATGTCCAAATCTTGCCTTTGGTATGCCTGTGTTTTTGGGGGGATATTGGTTGTGTTTTTAAGGTCATTCAAATGGTGTTTTTAAGATAATTCAACTGATAGTTGATCAATAAAGGTAAGGAGGTACTGATGTAAAGTGACACTATTCAGCATTCATTTTTTTACTACTAATTTTTTACAACATTCACATAAATATTGCCTTTCATTATTTGGATTTTGGGACTACTGTGGCAAGCAGACCATAGAGAATGCAGAACTGCCTTATATTTCACTGTGGACTATGAAAGCCAAGTTCTATTGTATTGCCATTAGTTCAAACAGTAAAAATGATAAAGGCATGTCTTATGGTCTTGGGGATATACTCCATGCATTTAATGTCTTGAAGCAGAATTATATTAGTATTTTTACATGTATAATTAGTATGATAGCTCTGCAGGACTTCCCTGAATTGGCAGTCATAGTTCTGACCTGGGGCAAAAGGCAGCTGTGCCCCATGGGTTGTGCTCAGCCACTGTAGGGCCTGCACGAGCCTCACTGGCACCAGCTGTGCTTGCTTTGGCAGCAGCATCTTCTTCTCTGTCCAGACAGTTGGGATGAAATGATTGCAGCAACAGGACTTGCTCTTTTAAGGATCCCTATGTATTAAATATGAAACACAGACTGCTCACACTAGCTCAGAATAACATCTGAGTTGAAAAATTATAAAAAGAGTGAGCCATAAACTACTGGACAAAATAGTTCTATGGCAGGTAAAAGAGGAAAATATACATGTGGGGGCCTGTAAGGATCTTTTTGTTGTATTGAAAGTCTGGTCCTTAAAATTCTATCAAAATTCCCTTCCTTCCTTAAGGCTTAAGAAGGGAAGTTGGATGAAATAAATTTAAACCTTTTGTGCAATAACGATACAAGCATGGTGAACATTATAATACTGATTGCAGGAAAGAACATTAGAATTCATAAAGGGTGAGGAAAACCTTCACACTATGAAGTAAGAAAACAAGCTTCTGTCTTTCAGTATGCATGCAGGATGTGCTGTAGGGTTTTTTGCATTTTGAAGATGGAATAATCAAAGCAGATTCCTTAAACTAATCTTGTGTGTCTTTTTCTTTTAGGACAAATCAATTAGCTCTAGCTTACCTGTCCTAGATTTAATAGATGCCATTGCACCAAAAGCAGTTCGTCCAGAAATGGTTAAGAGAGAAGACCTTTCTTACCAAGACAAATTAAATAATGCCAAGTAAGTTTTAAATGAATGCTTCACATTTTCCTAAAATGCAGGAAATGCATGAATTCACAATGTAATGCTTGATTTACTGATTTGTTAAGAGAAGGATAACACTAATATTATTTTTTAATAGAATATAAATTCTAATATTTATTTTTCTAGTGTATCTAAAATTAACCCAAATTCTCAGCTGATATGACCTACCACCACTGCACTGTAATTGGTTTCTTAATAGTCTGCCATACCTCATATTGTTTTTGACTGAAATAAATGCTTTGATAACCAGTAGCAAAACATCTGCCAGTACAATTGCCAGTACATGCTTTCTTCACAATAATGTCCATTTTCTAGTAGAGCCTAAGCACTGTTAAACAGGCATATCCAGCTATTGAAATCTGGTTTTGTTGTTGTGGATTTTGACCTATTAGTAGATGCCAGAAAAATAACAGTATTTGTTTTCTCTTTTTTTCCAAGGTATGCCATTTCAGTTGCTCGAAAAATTGGTGCTCGTATTTATGCCCTCCCAGATGATCTGGTTGAAGTGAAGCCAAAAATGGTGATGACAGTGTTTGCATGTTTGATGGGAAGAGGACTGAACAGAATAAAATAATGCAGACACATAATATAACTTTCTGCCATGTTAAGCACAATTAATGCCTCGCAGTTTACAGAGTTCTGAAACTTAGTATGAGAAAAATTGTATGCACAAATATACTCATCAATTATCTTTTAATAATGTGTTTATATTAGTTTATTTTCTTCACTTTCATAACACATGAATTATTTATGGATAATACCATTTTCAGAATATGTTCATTAACAAATTAACATCATAGATTTGTATTGCATACCCATATGAATCAAGCTTCATTTGCATTAGTTTCCATAGCACTGTAAGAACCTTCATTGTTTTACATATGTTGTTTCAGGACCAATTATGAAACACTGTTTGATTTTTGTTGGTGTTACTTACATATAGTCATACAAGTCTCAAGGTGCATTCCAATCCTGTTGGATTGGACTCCAAACTGCACAGAAATTATCATCCTTGCCTTATTCTTGGAGAGCTTAACTCTTGTTGGAGCCAATGAGAGTCTTGTCATTGACTTCAGAGCAAGTAAAGGCCTGTGATAATGTCTGGTAACTAATGAATACTGATTAAACTGATGAAACTTTTTTTGTGGGAATTATCTTTGTGTAGTAGTAGTAGTTTTGTTCTGTTACTTAGCAGAAACTTGTACAAACCACATTGTATGAAAAAAACAGCAATAGAAAGCAGAAATGTCCTGTCATTATTAAGTCTGCGTATGTGCTAAGTCTTGCGGTTGGACTAAACAACTGTCGGTTGTGTTTTTTTAACCTTTTCATAAAATATTGTATTAAGAGAACAATAAAGAGCTGGCTAGTCTACTATGTGATTTCTCATTACTGTAATGCATTTCCTTATATATCATTCCTTTGATTTTTCTAAAGTGTGTATTGTGTGTGCAGAGGTTTTGTGTAGAAAGACTAGTGCATCGTCATTGAAATCTGTAAATTTTTATTAGTAATTTTAAAGTAACTATTTGTACTCCTTTTTTCATCAGCTGTGAATTTTCACTTATGCTGAAGCTGGACATTTAATAAAGTTGTTACCAAAAGCCAAACAATAAGACAGCTAAATCAAAATTCAAGAGATTATTTTTTTAAGTATGAAGTTTCTGCTTTGTCTCAGGTCCTGAGGCCAGTCCTAAGTGTGGCAGAACCCAAGAATCCTGATGAGTGAGCACTTGCACTAAGTTTTACATCTTCACTATCATGCACACAATACAGCAACAGTAAGGGATGCATCCATCCAGTTTCAATTATATAATGGGATAATGGGGACTGGAGGGAATTAAGTGCTTGGATTTTAATCAGTTTGCCTCTGCCTATTTACTGGTTTGCGTTGTTGGGACAAGACTTGATTTTTATTCCCAGTCCAAGATGATGACAGGGCCTTGTACAGAATTTGAGTTCTGGGGACAACTCAGTCCAAGTCATCATTCAGGAGAGGATAAATGGAGGCTTAGTCTCTATACTGTAAGAATAAATGATCTCTTATTAAATTATGTAATCCTGAAGTACTGTATTTATCTGACAGACACTTGGTACCTTATTCCATAAAGGCCAGTCTTTTCTATTTTATAAACTATTGCTTTAAGTGTCCGGAATTACTTCAAAGTTGCTCTGTGGGAATTGAATTTCACGGGCCACCCTCACTCAGATGCTGTGAGCAGGGCCGCAGTTACTACAGCAGCAGGGAGCGAACAGATTTAAGTGCAACCGCAGCCCTGCGGCCGCCCAGCAGCTGCCGCAGCGTGAGCGCTCCGTGTCCCAAGGCGCCCTCGCTCGCAGGTGCCCCGCGGCCCGCACCCGGCACTGGGGAGCGGCACGGCCGCGTTCGGAGCAGCGCCGGCGCCTTCGGCCCGTGGCCCCAGCGCTCCGCCCGCCCGCCTGCGCTGCCCCGGCGGCGGGGCCGGAGCCTGCGCACTGCGGCGGGGAGCGGCCGCCCGGCCCGGCCCTGCCCTTCCCTGCCCTGCCGGCCCCGCCCGGCCCTGCCCTGCCCGCCCGCCAGGCGTGAGCTGGCCGGGGCCGCTGCCCCGCTCGCCGGCGGTGCCGAGGGGCAGCGGGGGCGCCGCGACACCGCCCCGGCCGGTCCGCATGGGCCTGGCGGAGCCATGGCCGCCCTGTACCAGAGCGCGGACCCGTCCGCCTCGGCCTCGCCCAACAAGCTGCTGGCGCTGAAGGATGTGCGGCAGGTGAAGGAGGAGACCACGCTGGACGAGAAGCTTTTCCTGCTGGCCTGCGACAAAGGTACCGGCCCCGCCGTCCCGCCCGGCCCCCCTTGAGTTCTCGGCCGCTCGCTCCGAGGGCCCGGGCCGGGTGTCAGCCCTGCAGTGCCCTCTCCTCGCCCGGGCTGCGGGTCCCGCCGTGGGCTGCCGTGGGGCACCGCGGGGTCCGGGCCCGCCGCCTCCCGCCGGCCCCTGAACGGGAAGGGAGGCGCGGGGCCGGCTTCTCCCGCCATCCTGAGGGCATTCGGTTTGTGTCGGAGCTGTCTGGGAGGTGTTCGCTGTTAAAAGTCTCTGAGTAGAGAGCTGGTGTAAAATTGGGGCTTACCTAGACATCCCCAGGATAAGCGAGACCAGTATCCTGTGATCTGCACCATTGGTGACGGATGGGAAGAAATTTGTCTTTTTGAAATATGCTACTTGCTTAAACCTATATTTAAGTATCTTTGAATCGAAACGTGGCCTTAAATCAAACTGATCTTTAAAGGTCTGAAGCGTTGGACTCCGAGGTATGCTTTTAATGATGTGCTGCACGGCTCTGCGTGCTTGGGGCATAAACACGGCTGCAGGAGCTGGGGTGTTTGCACGCAGAGCTGCGTGCTGGCCCCGAGCTTAGCTTAGCTCACAACCACAGGGTATTTCTGCAGTGGCATTCGCCAGCGAGCTTAGCAGTTTTGCTCTGGGACTCTCGGTGGTGGGATGCCTTGCATTTGCCTCTGCAGACTGTCCTGAACATCAGAGGAAGTAATGGCTTTCTCTCTTTAACTATAAACAGAGGTTCATAGAGCTAAAAGTATGCATAACAAAAAAAGTAACAAAACCCAGTTATTTGTATAACAGCTGGTTCAGTACTCTTGGTATGTATTTTACTGTATTCTGCATGTATTTCTGTAAGTGTTTTATGCTGAGATCTGTCTTGGTCACAGTCCTATGTGTTGCAAAGTAATTTGTTACCCTAGAGACAGTTTTGAAAAGCACCCATCATTTTGTGCGTGTTTGTTTTTAGGACTGGAACTAAAGGGGAGGATTAAAGTATATGTCTAATGCTTTCCTGAAGAGAGGTTTGAAATATATTTTGTTTTCTCTCTGATGAGAGAATGCTTATCTACCTTGACTTGTCTGATACACCCAGTTACTGTTGTCTACTGTGGAATAGTGTCTTGTGTGATGGTAGCTAGTACTTAAAATGATCACATGTTTTTATTGCTTTGTAATATGAAGTGATATCCCTACCTTACTTCTGCAGGTGACTATTACATGGTTAAAAAACTCTTAGAGGAAAACAGCTCAGGTGAAATGAACATAAATTGTGTGGATGTGCTCGGGCGAAATGCTGTTACCATAACCATTGAAAATGAAAACTTGGACATACTACAGCTGCTTTTAGATTATGGCTGCCAGGTATCCAACACACATTATTAAAAATGTTCAGTGTAGTCATGTATCGTCTTTGTTAATCTTTCAGAATTTGGACATAAATGAAGAATACCTTTTAGGCATTTCAATTATTTTTCCAATAAATTAGAAAAAGTAATTATGAAAGTGGTTTCTTCTCACAAGTTGATTTTTCTAGTGGAATTTTGGCATGGCAAATGTATAAGTAACATTTTCTACAATATTAACAAGTTTGAGTTTTATTTTAAATGTTACTCTTGCTGCTGATATAATGCATACATTATCTTCAAGAAAAAAAGTACACGGTGTGAGTGCCTCATTAAAATGTATAAAATGCGAAAATCCCTTCGGCTGTAGAGTGTATTAACTTTTTAAATGGTAACACAGAAAAATTATTCTATTATTTGATATTAAGTTAAGGCAAACATTTCTTCGACAAGTTTCTAGTGAAACTGATCTGTGCTTGATGGCAGGGCAGTTTCCTACCAGCAATACTTCTTTAAATGTATGCAACATCTCTGCTATTGGTGGGAGAATTGATGGATTAAATATGTAAGTAGGGAAAAGTAGCATGTTTTGTTACATTGTTTGATATTGGGCATGAATAAATCCACAAGCTTTCCCTGCCTGAATTAGTGGCAGTAATAAAAGCTGTGTCTTTTTCTTTTATTTTTTTAAGTAAAAATCTAAATTTTTGGAAATGAATCAAGAATAATATCATCTGTAGGGAAAATGAAAGCTGCTTATCTCAGCATAATAGGAGGTGCAGAAGTGGTTGGTTACCAGCCAAGAAGGAAAAAGCTTATTTTCCTAGCTGTACTCCAGAATTAGAAATGTAGGGCTGAAGTATCCCATATGCTTGAGCTGTGTTACACTAATATTTGCTTTTAATCTGTCTAATAACCTGGTAAACTGAGTCCTTAAACTTGATTTTTGTAAGCCTTGTGCATCATCTTTTCTGGAAACTAATTTATTCAGTTGATTCCTTTGCCATTGGTGCAGTAATGCAAATTGTCACTAATGCTATATGAACTCCTGCAATGGCAACCTGAATTTGTATCCTGATCATATGCCTGATGATAATACAGAACATCATTTTAGTACTTTAAAATTAAGTTTAAAGAATATGTTAAAAAAATGCAGTTTGGCTTGAGTTTGTCTCTTTGTGCTGTTTCAGTTATTGCTGTTTTCACATATGATATGTTTTCTTTACCTAGTCCTCGGATGCACTTTTGGTGGCTATTGACTCAGAAGTGGTGGGAGCTGTTGATATTCTACTTAATCACCGACCAAAACGATCCTCCAGACCAACCATTGTGGTTAAGTGTTGTTATTCCTTGATTTTTGGTTGGGGCTGTGAAGGCTATTGCTTTTTTTATTCTTAAATTCTTAATATTCTTAAATT